GATCTCTTGACCTCGTGATCCACCCGCCTCGGCCTCCCAAAGTGCTGGGATTACAGGCTTGAGCCACCGCGCCCGGCCAATTTTTGTACTTTTAATAGAGACGACATTTCGCCATATTGGCCAGGCTGGTCTCCAACTCCTGACCTCAAGTGATCTGCCCCCCCTCGGCCTCCCAAAGTGCTGAAATTATAGGCATGAGCCACCGTGTCTGGCCTCAAGTAAACTCTTTAAATCATATTTTGAGCTTCAGCCTCTTCCTTTGAGGTCAACACGCCTATAAAGAATGAACACGTTCATACTTCTATCGTCTTTTTGCACATGTGTGGTTTAACTCCAACCCTTCACTTTAACTCTACCAGGAATTAATTTTGGTGCATGGTAGAAGATGTGCATCTAAATTACATTTTTTTTTTTTTACTGTAATTACCCTAGAGTATTTATTGAATAATCCCTCCTGACCCCATTATTTACAAAATGTTCCTTATTGCATGTTAATGTCTTTTATGTAGACAATTTTCCTTCTTCCTGGCTCCCTGAAAATTCTTTTTTTTTTAGATGGAGTTTCACTCTTGTTGCCCAGACTGGAGTGCAATGGTGTGATCTCGGCTCACCACCACCTCCACCTCCCAGGTTCAAGCGATTCTCCTGCCTCAGCCACCGGAGTAGCTGGGATTACAGGCATGTGCCACCACGCCCGGCTAATTTCGTATTTTTAGTAGAGACGGGGTTTCTCCATTGTTGGTCAGGCTGGTCTCGAACTCCCGACCTCAGGTGATTCGCCCGCCTCGGCCTCCCAAAGTGGTGGGATTACAGGCGTGAGCCACTGCGCCCGGCCTGGAAACTTCTTTAGTCTGGTGCCAGCCTCACCCGATTTCTGTCTGGATGGCTATTTTAATAATGTTGTGGATGGCGCTCTCCTGACCGTCCTGAGGGAACGCTCTGCCGCCAGGGCTGCGTTCCCCGCCTTTGCTTTCCCAGGGCTGCCTGGAGGCCCCGGGCCCCGCGCGTTCCCAGGCACAGCCCGGGCCCAGGTGCGCGCCGACTCGGTGGGTTTCCCTCGGGAGGGGGAGGGAGCGGGGCAGGTGTCCCTAACGACTCTCCCACCCTCCAACCCAGAGAGGAGCCGGGCTGGGCTCCGTTACCACTTTACAGATGGGGAGGGAGCTCTGCCGCCTCTTTCAGATTTCAGGATCTCCCGGGAACCGGAAAAGAGAAAGACCTTCCCCACCCCCGCGCCAGCCACCTCCCTCTGCGGTAGCTGACCGTTCCCCCAACCGCTCCAGCTCCCGCAGGACTCAGGCGTCCCTGGCTACCGCAGCCTGAAAGGGTTCCTTTCCTGCTTCTCACATCGGCCTTCTCTTTCTAGCATCCCCAGGAGTCTCCCTCGGACCCCATAGTCTTGCTGGCCCTGAAGACGCCTTGCCCAGGGCGGATGCGTTGGCCTTTGAACTCCTCGCCTTGGGCAAACCTACCATTTGCTGGACATGACTGGTTCCTAGATATCTAATTTAATCTTCACAACCACCCCACCAGGCGTTATCACTCGCAATTTACGGCTAAGGAAACGGCTAGAAAAACTAAGGTGCAACGCTGAAGATACCCTAGCAGGCCAGTGGTGGAGCGGGCGGGAGCCGGCAGCTCGATCAGCACAGAGATGTGTTTACAGGGCGTCTCTTCCAACGCTCCTTCACAAGGCTGCTGGGACCGAGAAACGAAACAGGGTCGCCCATCTGCGTGCTCACGCTAAGTGATACCTACCCTCCGTTTTTTTCTTACATACAGGTGCCCTTGGTAAGCTGAGATGAGCCACAAAGGAGGCGAAAAATAAAATTAAGAAAAAATGGCCGGGCGCGGTGGCTCACGCCTATAATTCCAGCACTTTGGAAGGCTCAGGTGGGCGGATCACCTGAAGTCAGGAGTTTGAGACCAGTCTGGCCAGCCTGGCCAACATGGTAAAACCTCGACTCTACTAAAAATGCAAAAATTACCTGGGCGTGGTGGCGGGCGCCTGTAATCCCAGCACTTTGGGAGGCCGAGGCAGGTGGATCACGAGGTCAAGAGATTGAGACCATCCTGGTCAACAAAGTGAAACCCGTCTCTACTAAAAATACAAAAATTACCCGGGTATGCTCGTGGGCGCCTGTAATCCCAGCTACTCCGGAGGTTGAGGCAGAGAATCGCTTGAGCCTGGTAGGTGGAGGTTGCAGTGAGCCTAGATCGTGCCACTGCACTCCAGCCTGGGTGACAGTGCAAGACTCTATCTCAAAAAAAAAAAAAGTTTATACTTGAGGCTGGATGCAGTGGCTCATACCTGTAATCCCAGCACTTTGGACTTTGGGAGATTAAGGTGGGAAGTGGAGGATTGGTTGAGTTCAGGTGTTCAAGACCAGCCTGGGCAACATAGCAAGACTTCTCTTTACAAAAAAAATACTTCCAGTGGTTATAGACTTTAGATGTAATAGTGAGGAGACCTCTGCCACCCCTTCCTCTTGGTGGTATATATGATTCTGGTTTTGATTTTAAAAATACACTGCACCCTGTAGGGTAGCACCCTACCCTGCCAGATATAGTATCCCCACTATGCTCTCAGAGGCCAATCCACCACTCTATGGAGCCAGCTGCTTCTGGTCCACGGGGCACATGGTAACCCAGTGATTCCTTTAGTGTTTGTGGGATGAGATGGCCAGGGGCAGACCTATGTTACTTATGGTTAAATGATTACAAGCTTGCTTTGCCTTTTATACACGGAGATTTGTATGATCCATAGCATGGATCATATCCAAACTATGGTGCAGTAAAATAAAAGCAGAGATCAAGTGGTAACAGGAGGCCTATGGGAAAGACCATTGAGAGCACCCTACAATCACGAATACTGCGGTGTGGCTGCAAAGCAGAAAAGAAAAACTGCTTTGGTCCCAGGACTCTTCCCAACATAGAGTTTGTGCAAGGATCTCATAAAGGGAGCTTATGCAAAAGACCCGGGGAAGGAAATGCAACATCTGCTCATAAGACTCAGGAGGGTCTTGGCAGGTGGGTGCTAGTAAGGCCGGAAAGCCTTGCAGGGCAGAGACACCAGAACACCACAGACTCTGCCTGTGTTCTCAGAATATGGAGCAATTCCGATTGCTCTGTGTCCACATTGCTTGGGAGATAAAACCCCCTTGATACATGTGTGTGGTCAGACCTTATGTCGCCTTATCCACTGCAGCTCTCTCGCCAAAACACCTGAATAGACAATGGTTGGTAAAATCTCAGTGTCCTTAGTTAGCAGTTCTTAGGAGAGCCATGTATGCTATTGAATGCTGCAGACATGTGCTCTTCCTCCGGTTATCTTCCTCCTCAACCCCCCTCCCCACAGCCTGCAAGATTAACAAGACAATTTACCTAATAAAAGCACCTGGAGCCCGAGAGAGTGCGTTGGACCCCTGGACCCATGCTTTAAAATTCTATCATTGTGTCTTTGTCTTTCTTTTCTCACTCCCTGGTCACTGCCGCGACACGGGCACCCACACACAGAGTTGGGCTGGTTCCCAACAAGTGTGAGCTCATTTGTACATTTCCTTGGCCATAACATGTATTGCCCTGGTTGGAAGCTACGTATATTATGTTCAATGCCATGCTGATGGATATGGCATTCAGTAAGCCCATGAGTGGTGGTGCTGACAAGTACTGTAGGTAGAGAAAGCAAATTCCTATGTGAAATATGTGCCTCTCCTCGTGAAGGTGAAATACAGCCCCTCTGTTATGGGAGGACCCAATCAAGCCAATCTACAATGAGGTGAGAATGGTGCCCAATCAAGGACTCGGTCCTGGACCGTGAGGAGGGTGGACACTCACATTGACCACAGCCAGATCAGCCTCAGAGCGGAGAAGACTGTTACTGAGCCCGGGCGCAGCTTCCATGCCTGCCACCATGGCTACTTTATAGCATTGCACAAGCCCTGCGGGGAGCTGGGAAAGCAGCTGACCTTCATCCACAAGACTGTCATCTTGTCCACCTGGTGATCATTTTGTCCCTTTGCCTTATTGTGGGCTATTATACCCACCTTGCCTTTAACTGTTAGGCATCACCATTTAGCCTTTGTACCATCAGGATACCATTATTCTCACTGAGATCAGGGAATCCACTTCCACTGATCCATCCAGCACGCCCCACTAGCTCTCTAGTCAAGAGAGGACAGTCATCAAAGCAAGTCAAGGATGCTGGTGGCCCTCACCAACGCATTTCTTTTTCTTTTTTTTTTTTTTTTTTTTTTGAGTCGGGGGGTCACTCATGCTACCCAGGCTGGAGTGCAATGGCGCGATCTCGGCTCACCGCAACCTCCACCTCCTGGGTTCAGGCAATTCTCCTGGCTCAGCCTCCTGAGTAGCTGGGATTACAGGCACGCACCACCATGCCCAGCTAATTTTTTGTATTTTTAGTAGAGACGGGGTTTCACCATGTTGACCAGGATGGTCTCGATCTCTTGACCTCGTGATCCACCCGCCTCGGCCTCCCAAAGTGCTGGGATTACAGGCTTGAGCCACCGCGCCCGGCGCATTTCTTTTTCATAAAATTTTATTTATCTAATTTTTTACTTCACACTGATGTAGGCTTTTTTGTTTGTTTGTTTGTTTTTGAGATGGAGGCTTGCTCTGTCACCCAGGCTGGAGTGTAGTTGTGCGATCTCGGCTCACTGCAACCTCAGCCTCCTGGGTTCAAGCAATTCTCCTGCCTCAGCCTCCTGAGGAGCTGGGATAACAGGTGCACACCACCATGCCCAGCTAATTTTTTTGTATTTTTAGTAGATATGGGGTTTCACCATGTTGGCAAGGCTGGTCTTGAACTCCTGACCTCGTGATCCACCCACCTTGGCCTCCCAAAGTGCTGGGATTACAGGTGTGAGCCACCACACCCAGCCTACCAACGCATGTCTTAATGCTTTCGTAAAGGGAGTGTTTTCCAGACCTTCCTAAAATATGCGGCTAGCAGTGGCTAAGAAGGTTGAACATCGAGATTGCGCCACTGCACTCCAGCCTGGCCACAGAGCGAGTCTCCATCTCAAAAAAAAAAAAAAAAAAAAAAAAGTTGCGTATCATGAAGTCCAGCATTCGCATCTCCCTGAGACTTCTGATTCCCTCCTCTAAAGTATTCCAGGGAAGCTCTGGCATTTCATGCTTATTAACTGTAGGCTACTACTTAATCCAGACTTTAATTAGCCAGTCTAGCAGACTATTAATGCTCCTGCCAGGTGCCCAGGCCAACACAGTAAACCCCAAACCCTGGATAAGCATCTACTGCAGTGAGCTTGGCTAAACCAAGACTTCCATCCCCCACCTTGGTCTAGTCCCCTCAGCACCCACTCCCACACCCACTCCTGCAGCTCCTGCCAAGATAAGCTGGCCAGGCCTGTAACTCAGCCCTGCGTACTCTCAGCGTGGCCCTGTGCTTCTCCATGGGCTGTGCTGAGACCCAGCTCACAAAGGGCCCGGGGCCAAGAGGGTTGTGGGCAGGGAGGGTTCTGAGGCTGAAGTTTTGGGAGGAGGGAGTATTAGGGTGCCTTAACTCCACAGACATGAGAATTTCAAGGAAATTTGGGGGTTCAAAGTTCTCAGTCTTGTTCATGTCTATCCCATCTCAGGCTCCCAGTCCTTTCCCAGCAATGCCTTTACCTTAGCAGTCTCACTCTGTCTCCCAGGCTGGAGTGCAGTGACGTGATCTGGAATCACTTCGACCTCCACCTCCCTCGTTCAAGCAATTCTCCTGCCTCAGCCTTCCAAGTAGCTGGGATTTCAGGTGTGCGCCGCCAGGCCCGGCTAACTTTTTTTGAGACAGAGTCTTGCTCTGTTGCCCAGGCTGGAGTAGAGTGGCACAATCTCAGCTCACTACAACATCCACTTCCCTGGGTTCAAGCGATTCTCCTGCCTCAGCCCGGAGTAGCTGGGATTACAGGCAACCGCCATCATACCCGGCTAATTTTTGTACTTGTAGTAGAGATGGGGTTTCACCATGTTGGCCAGACTGGTCTCAAACTCCTGACCTCAGGTGATCGGACTGCCTTGGCCTCCTAAAGTGTTGGAATTACAGGCATGAGCCACCATGCCCGGCTTTTTTTTTTTTTTTTTTTTTTTTGCAACAAGGGATTCTGATTTCATCCAGGCATTGATAACTTTCAGTTCTCTTTCCCCCGGCCCACGTTCCCTGCGGCCATCAGGAAAACCCAGATAAGTCCCTGCCATAGCGGTGAGGGACCACAGCCCCTTCAGCTCCCATCTCCCCACTGTTCCCCACGCCTCATTCCTTACTGCCCCAGAGCTCATTTGGGCAATGGTGATGCCTCCATATGTTGGAGATTACCTGGGTACATTTCCCCATTTGCAAAGAGGCTTCCCCATGTACTGTTGAAATGCATGATCAATCCAATCCCAATATCCGGTTTGGGACTTCTCCTGGCACCAGCTGCTATACTGGTGAGCATGGGTAGGAAACAGATGACACACTGATGCTGGGTAATTTGAGGAGAATTTAGTAGAGTCTATTTAAAGAGTTGAAGGGAAATCCCAAGAGACTATGCAGTACTGGTATTAATAACAAGCCTGAGGGAGTGAGGGGATGGAGCAGTGTCAAGGCCCCAAAGCCATGGAGTTGAGTGGGGGGACCCTGCTGCCAGTGGTGACCCTGCACCTCAAGGAGGAAAACTAAGGAAGAAATACTTTGACATCCTTCTTTTTCTTCCCTCTGTTCTCCCTCCACCCCCGTTGGCCAAATCTAAAAGCCAATGGGCCAGGAAGACTATTGAAGGGGTCTATAGATGTCATTGTTCAGGAAGCTGGATGGGGAAGGGTGACAGAGGACCTGGAGGGGCAATGCAGGAGACCCAGCATGGCCACCCACTTGATGAGAATCTTCATGATCCCACTGAATCTGTCGTGTTCTCAGGACAATCCTGTGAGGTAGGCTCTATCATCACTCTCATTTTATAGATAGGAAATCTGACGCAGAGAGAAGCGAAATAACTTGCTGCAAAGTCTCACAGCTTGTGAATGCCAAGGTGGATTAGGATTGGACTCAGCCTGGCCTGGTCCAGTCTGCAGGCTCAGAAGGTGGTAGTAAGAGCAGCTCTTACATGAGCTGAGAAGATCAAATACATTAAAAACAGGATAGGGCACTTGTAATCCCAGCACTTTGGGAGGCCGAGGCGGGTGGATCACGAGGTCAAGAGATCGAGACCATCCTGGTCAACATGGTGAAACCCCTTCTCTACTAAAACTACAAAAAATTAGCTGGGCATGGTGGCGCATGCATGTAATCCCAGCTACTCAGGAGGCTGAGGCAGGAGAATTGCCTGAACCCAGGAGGCGGAGGTTGCGGTGAGCCGAGATCGCGCCATTGCACTCCGGCCTGGGTAACAAGAGCGAAACTCTGTCTCCAAAAAAAAAAAAAAACAAAAAACAGGATAGGGCTGGGCGCAGTGGCTCACACGTGTAATCCCAGCACTTTGGGAAGCCGAGGTGGGCAGATCACAAAGTCACGAGTTCAAGACCACTCTGGCCAACATGGCGAAACTCCATCTCTACTAAAAATACAAAATTAGCCAGGTGTGGTGGTGCACACCTGTAGTCCCAGCTACTTGTGAGGCTGAGGTAGGAGAATTGCTTGAACCCGGGAGGTGGAGGTTGCAGTGACCTGAGATCATGCCACTGCACTCCAGCCTGGGTGACAGGAGGGAAACTCTGTCAAAAAAAACACAAAAAACAAAAAACAAAACCCGGGATAAGTGTGGCCTTCTCATTTTTCTTGGCACCTAATACTACTACTGCAGCAGGTACCGCACTAGATTATTTATGTAATAGACTATATGACCCATGTATATAATAATTACTATAATAACTTACTTCAGTGACTTCTTCCCTGGATAGGTCATAAGCCCCTTGCAGACAGGAATCTGTGTGCCAGCATTTGCTAACTTTTTTTTTTTTTTAGAGACAGGGTCTCTCTCTGTCTCCCAGACTGGAGTCGAGCAGCGTAATCAGTCCACTGCAGCCTTGAACTCCTGGGCTCAAGGGATCTTCCCACCTCAGTCTCCCAAATAGCGGGGACTACAGGCATGTGCTACTGTGCCTGGTTTATGTATGGCCAAATGCTTTCAATCAGTGCTTGCATTGAGTTGAACCCAATCTTTACTCCTTGACTTTGTAAGAATGGATTCAGTCAGTCAGTTACTTAGTTAATATTTCTGAGTACCACTAGGTCTTCACATGAGTTGGTCTAGGCACATGTAGGTATTAGACGAATAAGACTCAATCTAATCTAAGAGACTACATGTGCATGCTAAGACCAGTAATCGATTATGGGTACATGGGAAAAGGACCGATTAATTCTGATAGTAACTGCAATCAGCGAGCTCATTGAGGTCTTCGAAGAATGAATTGAGTTTCAATAATTGAGAGACAGGGAAGGGCATTTCCTGCTGATATATATGTATATTATCTATCTATCTATCTATCTATGTATCTATCATCTATCAATCAATCATCTATCATCATCTATCTCTCTGGATGTCTTTTTTTTTTTTGAGATGGAGTCTTGCTCTCCCAGGCTGGAGTGCAGTGGCGTGATCTCTGCAACCTCCACCTTCCGGGCTCATGCGATTCTCCTGCCTCAGCCTCCTGAGTAGCTTGGAATACAGTCATGTGCCACCATGCTCGACTAATTTTTTTTTTTTTTTTTTTTTAAGATGGAGTTTCGCTCTTTTTGTCCAGGCTGGAGTGCAATGACTCGATCTTGGCTCACTGCAACCTCTCTGCCTCCCAGGTTCAAGTGATTCTCCCATCTCAGCCTCCTGAGTAGCTGGAATTACAGGAGCCCACCACCACACCTGGCTAGTTTTGTGTTTTTCATAGAGACAGGGTTTCACCATGTTGGCCAGGCTGGTCTGGAACTCCTGACCTCAGGTGATCTGCCTACCTCAGCCTCCCAAAGTGCTGGGATTACAGGCATGGGCCACCACACCTGGCCATGTCTGCTGTCTGTCTGTCTGCCTGTCTATCTATCTATCTGTCTATCTATAACTACCTATCTATATCTATTGAGACAGAGTCTATTTATGTATCTATATCTATATCTATATCTATATCTATATCTGTATCTATATCCATTGGAGACAGGGTCTCACTCCTGTTGCCATCTATCTATCTATCTATCTATCTATCTATCTATCTATCTATCTATTGAGACAGGGTCTCATTCCCATTGCCCAGGTGTGCACCAGCTAATTTTTTGTATTTTTGGCAGAGATGGGATTTTGACATGTTGGCCAGGCTGGTCTCAAACTCCTGGTCTCAAGTGATCTGCCTGCCTTGACCTCCCAAAGTTCTGGGATTACAGGCACGAGCCATCTCGCCTGGCCAAGGTGTATATATATATGATGAATTATAAATGAGCTTAGGGATGTTTGGAACTGATCTCCAGACTTAGAGGTTGATACCTGGCCTTGCTACCCCTTGTTGAAATAACTTCTTGGTCTCCAGGGTCCTGGCTGACTCAAGGAGAGGCTCTAGATGTACCTGGATGGGAAATACCATTGCTTCTGTCTGTTTATTCAGTTTTCCTTATTTTCTCTCCTTGCCTTCTGCATGCACCTCTATGGCAGTACACGGGCTTAGATGGTTGCCCACAGGGCAAGGGACTCTGGGCCCTATCAAGGGGAGGCACCCTGGTTTCGTGAAAGAGCATTGGGTTAGGAGTCAGGAGGCCTAGGTTCCAAACCCAGCTGTTACTTCCTTTCATGGACTTGGTTAACTATCTAAGGGGGCTTGGACTCAATGATATTTGAGGGCCTTCGTGTCAATACCTAATTCCTAACTTGTCTTGATCATTTTATAGGGTTGTGCTATCGACAAAATAAGAGAATGTGAGTGAAGAATAAGAATGACACTGAAGGCTGGGTGCAGTGGCTCATGCCTGTAATTCTAGCACTATGGGAGGCTGAGGTGGGAGGATCACTTGAGGCCAGGAGTTTGAGACCAGCCTGGCTAACATGGTGAAACCCTATCTCTACTAAAAATATAAAAATTAGCTGGGCGTGGTGGCAGGCACCTGTAATCCCAACTACTCAGGAGGCCGAGGCAGGAAAACTGCTTGAACCTGGGAGGTGGAGGTTGCAATGAGCCAAGATCGCACCACTGGACTCCAGCCTGGATGGCAGAGCAAGACTCTAAAAAAACAAAATGACACTGAGATGATCCCCGACTTCCCAACCACATGCACATCATTCTCCCTAATTCTGAGCACGTTTGACTTTCACTGTGGCTGGGAGAACACCCAAGGCTGTTTTGACATCATAGATATGCTTTCATCTTGCACTTGGCTAGTAGGAAAGGAGTCAATAGTACAGCAGGAAACCAGAGCCCCCCAGCAAGGATCCTGGGAGTACAACCAAGGCCAAGGCCATCTGAGAAAGAAGGTGAACCTGGTGAGTTAGGAGAAAATCCTTAGGGCAGACTGTAGGAGTCTGCCCCGGGAACTGACCTTGGCCACAGACAAAATGATTTCTTCCTTCATGTAGTATTCCGCTAAATACCAATTGGCATACTGTGGTTCGATTCTGGCACTCACCATCCAGAGTTAGTGCAGACCCCGCAAGTCAAAAAGCACAATCCCCAACAAGACTGCCTTCACTTCAGAGGTCAGATGCAAGGTCAGGGGGATCCTCAGGTCACCCAGACTTCTGACTGGCTACAAATATGGAGGTTTTTCATGATCCACCTCAGATTAAATAAGTCACTACAACAACTCACAGAACTCAGGAAAGTGCTATTTTTTTTAGAGATGGGGTTTCACCATGTTGGCCAGGATGGTCTTGATCTCCTGACCTCGTGATCCACCCACCTCGGCCTCCCAAAGTGCTGGTATTACAGGTGTGAGCCATCACACCCGGCCTATTCTTTTTTTTTTTTTTTGAGATGGAGTCTTTCTCTGTTGCCCAGGCTGGAGTGCAGTGGTTCGATCTCAGCTCACTGCAACCTCTGCCTCCCAGGTTCAAACTATTCTCATGTCTTAGCATCCTGAGTAGCTGGGATTACAGGCACTCACCATCACACCTGGCTAAGTTTTGTAATATTAGCAGAGACAGGGTTTTGTCACGTTGGTCAGGTTGGTCTTGAACTCCTGACCTCAGGTGACCCACCTGCTTCAGCCTCCCAAAGTGCTGGGATTACAGGCATGAGCCACCATGGCC